AAAAAAAAAAAAGAAAGAATTCAATGAAGCTGAACACAGCCACTCACAACAACACTACCTGGTATACTAACCACAATGGGCTCCCAGTACACTCACCTAGTGGGAGTAGCCTGTGCTACAAGGGGACTATCCTCAAAAAAATAATTCTGGGTTTTTGTTTTTGTCTTCCCTCACATACTGTAGTAGCTTCTTCATCAATATTTTGAAAAGAGTCTGAACTTGGGCATCTTGAGTGTGGGTCCCGGCTCAACCATCCCCTGTATCTGAGATTGCAGACAAAGTTATTTGCATTATCTTATTTTCAAAGTGGGGATAACATCTCTAGGGAGAGAATGTGAGCCAGTGACAAAACCAAAAACTGTCTGGACTTACGCTGACAAAGTAGTTGCATGCTTCATCACACAAAGCCATCTTTTAGAAAAAGCTCCATTAACCACAATTATCAATGCATGTGATTTAAATCTGGAAATTTAAGCTGATTTGGAGACCCAAGTCATAACTGAACAGCTCCCCATACTCATTCAAGTTTCCAAACCTCAACTGCTCTATTCTGGTCTTTAATTTTTAAAATGGAATGCACACTATTTTGGTGAAGCCTATTTGATTTTGCTCCCAACCACAGGATTTTCCCACTGGATAAAAAGCTTGGAAAAATTATTTTAAAGGAGAATTTGAGACCCAGATTTCTCATCTCTAACCTATACACAAATCCATAAGCTATAACCAAGAGTAAGATGGGGAATAATGAGGTTAAACCAATAAAAACTACCTCCCCACTGGGTTTTCTTTGGGGCAAAGCCAGAAGTCACTGCACAATGATACTGAAGGCACTGATGTGAATTTCACTCCATCTATGCTATGGAAAGTTCATGAACACAACAATATTTCTCTATCTGTGCAGCCCTTTGAACACTGATTACAAACATTACTATTATCATCGGGACAATAAAAAATATAGTAAGCATTGTCGTGATAACCTTATAGCACATATTCGATATTTTAATATCTTTATTTTATTACATTCAAGAAAAATTAAACTCAGACAAACGGAAGGGCAACAAAAGCCACTACGGGTAGTCTCTCATTAACATTTCTCTGAAAGCAGCTCATCAGTTAGGACTAAGAGGAAAGATCGATCTGCTGTTTAGGCAGCGTCGCTGCCAATGTGACCCCAAACCCGTCATCTTTTTAACAGCTTGTGTGCAGCTATTGAATATGAAAAACAAAACTCTTTAAATTAAATAAATTATGAGAGGATTACTGCTGCAAATGAACCTACAAATGTCTGAAATACATCTTTTCTCTTGGAATCAGATTCAATCATACGTTATGACTATTTGTCTTTCAATGAAAGACTATTAGAGCTTTTGGTAGAAAATTCAAATCAAGCTAAGAAAAAGAAATTTATTTCAGTTATTATTACCGGCAACATAGAAGCCCCAAATTTCAGAGTAAACCGGGTTTAGCATTCAAGAAATGACTCTAATGCTTAGGTATAAACTTTTTCTTGATAGCAATATCCCATTGCCTTAATAAGTTATTCCAGGGAGAGTGCCGCGAATCAATGTTCAACCAGTAACTACATCTTATTTAACTACAAGTGTGGTTTCCTTACTGATGAGAATTCAAAGAATTATACAGGATTGTCCACAACCGCTGTCTCTGTGGAGGTGAACATCTTGAATGTTATATGAATCAAGTGTAAATTTAAACTGCTAATTGATGCTCAGTTATTCTGGCCGATCTAGAAAAGTAGACTTAAAATGAAAATATTTATGGAAAACATTGAAATTTCATTTGGATTATTTAGCTCCCAAGTAGCCCAAATGGAGAGGCTGATAGCTTCCAAAGACATTAAAAAAAAAAAATCCAATACTGTACTTTCTGGAGACTATAGCCTCTGCTCTCTGATAATACAAGGTCTTTAAAAGAATCTACAAATTTATTTTGAGACTTTGTGATATTGAGGTGCTCATTTGTTTCTTGGTTGTATAGAGTTTATACAATTAGTTTTACTTATACAAATTTTATTGCAACTTTGGTTCTAATGTGCTATTGGGCCCATTTGTTAGATTTATGAATGCCTCCCTTCAGAATATCATAAATATTTCTACCTCTTAGCTGGTTTCTATTTGACAAAAATTTTGTAGTCCTTCAAACAATTCCTTTTCTAATAATCAAATCCTATTTCCTAACTTCCCCCCAAAAATGAGGTGAAACAGGCCACAATGTGTATTTGTGTGTTCATGAGCACATCCACACATCTATCTGTAGGCCTAAATGAAGCTCTTTTCTCTCATTCAGCTGCTTGATCATTACAAGGTAAAACCTTTATGAGAGAGAGCTAATAAAAAGAGACAAGACAAATAACTGGAGAATGGGACCTGCTTTTGAAGTCACATGCCTGAGTATTCATTTTCCAGTGAATATTTGTACATGTGAAAAGCATTTGTAAGAGAAAATGAGAGAAGCAGAATTACGGGGAAGAAAAGAAATTGGCTAGAATGAGGATGATGGGTAGGTGAAGACAAGGTGTTAGAAAAAAGAGCTCTAGTTTTCTGAATTCATGTAAAAATACAGTGTGCTTTTAAAAAAGTTTGTATTAAGAAGTTTACATAAGAAATATATATTTTGTTTAACTGAAGTATTTTCTATGATCAAAGTATGATGCTTGTAAAGCCAAATGTACCACACTGATTTTTTTTAACAGTGGAGTTAGTTTGATTTGATTCCTTAGACGTAGGATTAAAAAAGAAACAACATTTACACAGCAATTTATTGTTTACAAAGCAGTTTTCATGTATTTCTTGTTTGGTATCGTATTGCTTGGAAAATGAATGCCATGATTTACTAGAGAAACATGTAAGCTATTTAATGCATATCTATCTTTTTGGTAGTCTCTCCAAGTATAGATGTATATTTTAATAACAGACATTATAAACTATATATTGAATAGAGCCTGAACTTTGGCATCTTAATTGTGAGTCCTGGCTCAACCATCCCTGGTATCTGGGATTGTAGATAAAGTTATTTGCATTGTCTTCATCATTAAAAGGGGATAGCACCTCCCCTATGAGAATATTTCGAGAAATTTAATAAACCAGTGTAGTCTCTGTCTTATAATAGGCACTTAGTATATGTTGGCATGTATGTATGTTTAAAAATGTAATGTGTAAAGTATACATGCTCATAAACTGTCTAATACATTTCATTTACATATAGTTGAAAAATTAAGCAATTTTGACCTATTATGGTTTAAACATCTTGGGATAATTCTTTATCAATGACATAACCAGTTCATGTATTAATATTTTCCAGTTTTACATATTATGAAAGGGAGCATTTCTTTAGAGGAACTTTGGAAACTATAGCAGACTCAGGCAAGGAATGAGATCTAGTTTGATACTCAACTTAGTCACCTTGAAGTTAAACACATTTGGGAGTTATGAAAATTTCTTGAAAGCTCAGATTTTCAGCTGTTGAATGGGGGATATTTAGTACTATTTATAACTGTTAAGAATTAAATAAGATAATGTATGAGTGGCTCTCACACATAGATGGGCTCTATAATGATTAACTTTCTTCTCTGATGTATGAGGGAGAATCCAAAAAACCTCGGAACTATATTTTTAGAGGGCAGGTCCTTTGTAATACAGGCTTTCCTAGCTAGATAAAGTGTTCTAGGAATCCACTGGTATCAGTGTACCAGAGAGAGTTGTCTCAGAGGCTGCATTTGACTTCAGTGAATTTCTTTTGTTTTTGAGATTCTTTCAGTGCATTTGCCCATTTCGTGATGGGTGATTTACAAGCACATCTGCCCACAGTGTGTGAAGTGTGAAGCACCTTTTGACCAAAAACAACATGACCATGACTCCTGTATTCCACCCTCCCTATTCAGCCTGTCTTACCCCAAGCGACTTTTTTTTTGTTTCCTTCCTCAAAGGGAAACATTTTTGGGGATGTGGAAGAGGTGAAACAAAGAATAGCAGAAGTACTAAAAGACATCAAAATTGACGATTTCAAAAACTGTTTTGAGCAGTGAGATTGCATCAAATGGAGAGTATTGCATCAAATGGTGTATTGCATCAAATGGGGAGTACTTTGAAGGTGACTGAAGTCTCAACATGTAAGAATAAAACACACAATTTTTAAATAAATTCTGGGTTTTTGTGGTCCCTCCCCTCCTTGCACATAGTCAGCTTTACCTTATTTCGAAGGGAACACATTTCTCTGGAAGTTCATCTTAATGGTTATCTGAATAGTGTGTTATTGACAGATGTGAAGAAATTTTAATTACACTCCTAGGATAGTCACATGGGACACCCAACAATCCATATGATCCCATCCCTGAAGACAGACACATTATAGAATCATTTGCTGGTGAAATCTAGGGACTAGCTAGAGTAGCCCACCTGACATAGTAGGAAGGCATGAGCAATTGTATTTCCCGCATACCTTCTCCAGAAAGATGAAGAGTCATGATGGTTTTCCATTCTTTAGTAATGAAAATCACTTTCTGTAAATGAACATTCTACTTTAGAAAAGAAGCAGACAGCTGTGAGAGATATGTGAAGACATTTCAGTTTTATTATCTTTTAGGCATAGACGGGTATATTAATCCATTTCCACATACAATTCCTATAATCACATATAGGGAGTGAACCTTGAACTGGCAAAACCTGTCTCCAGTTGCCAGAGAGTTAAACTGGAGAGACGAAACCTCAGAAGTTGAGGATTGTGAACTCACTTTCCTCCCAGCATTGCTGTGCATATGGATGCCACTACATAAGCAGGCTTTCCTCCTTATCCAGGCGTCGATGCAATGGGAATAATATTGTCTCTTTTTTTCCCGGCAAACTATCAGTGTTCCGTCCAGAGCTCCAAGTTTCCATGTTCTGCTCTCTAGATTCTGACAGCTGTTTTTGGACTTAGTTAACCATTGCGAGTGGAAGCCAAGAAATAATTGTAGTATAACCCTCTCTATCGTCCATGTAGCTTCTTTCTGCAAATATATCTTAGGAGTTAGACTTTAAACCTTTGATCTCCCACACCAAAAGAAAAAAATATATATTTATATGGAAGTAATTTAATTTTAATGTTCATGGTTTATTGTGGAAAGCAGGTGTTTTAAAATTTTAGAATTTCTTTAACAAAATTCTAAGAGAAAAGAAAAAAGAAATCACAGTATTTACAGAGATAACAGAATGGCTTAGCCATGCAAAGCAAATAACTTTGGTTTTTTTCCCCTTTTACTTTGGTTTAAATATTGACCAAGATTTAATTTTTTTTCTGCCAAATAAAACTTCAATAAATCAAAGTTTAGAGGCAAAATAACATATTTTCTTTTTTCCCATAATATTTTATACAGCATCGAGTCTAAGAACATTTTATGCATTTAATCCATACCAATGCACTACAGGAAGCTTTTATTTAACGGAGTCACTATTGCCCAGACAAGTGGTTTACAAATGTACAATAACATATGTTTCTAAATAATGCAGAAGTGGCAAAATATTATTCCTAATCTCCATCCGACCTTAATTTTCAATTTATTTTTCATTGTCTTCATAATTTTATTTCATGAGTCTAAAAAACAAACACCAGTTTTCCTTTTCCTCTTAAAGAACATAGTTCGATACCTAGAAATCTGATGCTCATTTTTTTTTTTTTGCCTTGAAGTTATGTAAATCCTGGGACAGAAATGGCTGTGCAGTGTTCTCCCAGAAACCAGGCTTCTGCTTGAAAGAGCAAAGTTTAAAAGTCTAGTCACAAGTAGCTATTGGCCCATATCCAGTCTACTTCAAAAAGTTTCCATTTATACTACCACCCTAAAAAGTTCCTCAAGCATAAAACATGTTTATAAAGTTACAAATTTGAATGTAACTAAAGATACATAGACATTTTATTATTATACTTTCATGTACTGCTCGATAAATTATGTATCAGTTAAAAACACTAAATTATCTCAAGGTGCATTCAATATCTGTAGTGTAGTTAACAAAAACACACACGAAAAAAATATATATTCTATATTCTGTGGAAAATAACACAGCTTTGATAATGACCACTGTTAAAAACTCCAATTCTGATTGATATCTTTTTTTTTTTTTATTTAAAGGAAACAGGTATAATTTTAAGGCAGTGGATAACCCAAAGGATTTAACACCAATTTGTAAATACAGTGATTTACCTTGTGATCTATGAAAATGGGAATGTTATCTATGATTTTTCCAAACTGTCTCTCACACACTGGTTTGTTTTTTTTTTCTTTTGACAGAAAGTAATTTTCAAGCAGGTGTCTGTAGAGGTGAGTGCTACCCAAATTCTGTTTCATGTCTTTTTCAGAACAGGAAAGTTGTCAGTTTGGGGAGTACCATTATGTATGCATGTGTCCATGAGAGTCAGCTGGTGGCACAGGCACAGAATCGGCCCACAGGGTGCTTATCAATCTGACTCCCTGCCTCTGTGATAAAAACCACAGTTTTTGAATAGGACAATGTGTGTGTCCGCAGTCTTCACAAGCTGCCACCTTTGGGTTTTAGGTGCTTGTGAGAAAGTTTGGGGCATTACTGATAGCAATCAGAATCAGAGATATACCTGCTCAGATTATCCATATAAACAATTAAAATAAAAACATTACATCATACATCAGATTAACAGCAACTCCCAGAACAAAGCTTACAGTGTATAAAAATAGCTACGTAAAAAATTTACATAAAAGGCAAACCAAAAAGAAATCCTCAGTGCAGACATTTACAGAAAAAAAAAATATTCGAACCAAACACAACATATGACCTATTATCATGGCTGCCAAAACTTGTTGTTATTGTTTGTAATTTCATTTCATTGTTTTACTTGAGATAATTCTCTAAAATCCTGTGACAGCTTGGTAGAATGTACTGCTTAATACTTGAACCATGAATTGCTGTCAATGTCTTTTTTATGTCTTAAATACAATCCACGTTCATGCTTCAATTGGTCTATAGGTTTTTTTTTCTCTGAAATGATGAAAAAAGACATAATTTAGATAAGTTACCAAGCAATAATTTTCTACCATCAACAGATACTTTGTACTAAAAGTGACGGAATTGCTTTAGAGGACAGCATTTTATGAAACTCCATTGTCCCTGAGTCCATCTGTAATCCCCGACGTGGCTGCATCTCTTCTACAAATAATTTTCTGGAATTTTTGAGAGTTCAAAAAAACAAACTCATCCCTTCAAATCACACACTACTTTGTGGGACTTGTCTTCAAGTACAACTTTCCAATGAGAATTTACTCCACCCAATATTGAAGAAAACAGAAGGTAACATCTATGTTTACAAAGCATGGGGCAGGAACCCCAGAGAAGGAGGAAGAAAAAGTCACGTGGCAGAGCTGCATACTCGACAGTCAATGGGAGGCAAGATAGGAGAGGGAATCCAGTTCTGACTTCTTTCACCCAATCAGTATGAGATCCTGGTTTGGGGGTTTTAAAAAAATAGGTCTTATTTCAGTTATTCTATTTCACTCCCCTGTGTGCAGCCTTTTAAATACAATTCTTTCCCATTCTATCTTTACTATGGGGTTACCTTAGAAACCCAGTCCAATTTACCAACTGTGACTTGCGGTTTCTTTATAATGAACCCAGGGTTTATTGTGGTGGTTGGGACTTTTCACATAATATTGGTGAGTTACAGTGACAGCTCTTCTGCTTTTTTTTAATTGAATGGGGGTGGGGAGGAGTCTCACTCTGTTGCCCACGCTGGAATGCAGTGGCACAAACACGGCTCATTACAGCCTCTACCTCTGGGGCTCAGGCAATCTTTCCTCCTCAGCCGCCTGAGTAACTGGGACTCTGTAGCCGGGACTTTGCATGCCTCAAGCCCAGCTAGTTTTCTGATTTTTTTTTTTTTTTGTAGACACAAGTTCTTTCTATGCTGCCTAGGCTGGACTTCAACTTCTGGGCTCAAGCAGTCATCTCACTTAGACCTCCCTAAGTGCTGTGATTATAGGTGTGAGCCACACAGTGCCTGGCCAGTTCTTAGGGACACACAAATAGTCCCACACACACAGAAAAAGCTGGCCAGGTGTGGTGGCTCATGCTTATAATTCCATCATTCCAGCACTTTGGGACACCAAGGTGGGAAGATCACTTGAGACCAGCCTGGGCAGCATAGTAAGATTGTATCTCTACAAAAAATTTTTGAAATTAGCTCAGCATGCTGGTGTGTACCTGTAGTGCTAGCTACTCGGGAGGCTGAAGCAGGAGGATCTCTTGAGCCCAAGAGTTGGAGGCTTTAATCAGCTATAATGGAGCCTTTACACTCCAGCCTGGATGACAGAGCAAGACTCTGTCTCTAAAAAAAGAAAAAAGCTCAAATTGGAAGTGATAATGCCATAGAAACATACCCCTTTTTGAAACTATCTAAAAATCACACACATACAACTACTGTATATTTAAAAAAATGCAACCTATGTAACATTGACATATATGTGTTTATGTATGTGTGTGTGTGTGTGTGTGTGTGTGTGTATGGACATATAGGTACATACACACACACACATCTATATATGCTCCTTGTAAAAGCATACGTGTATGTATACACACATGCACAAAAATGTGCTAGCCTTTTCACTAAAATGATTTGGGAGAAGGCTATATAAGTATGCTCACACTTTTATTAAATTCTTAGATTAAAATGTTCTCATAATTGTTTTAAAAATAAATGTCAAGTATTAGAATCTGCTCTTATTGAACCCAAATACAAATTCATAAAACAAAGCTTTGCTTTCAGCAAAATTTTTGGCATTAGAATATAAAACGCTAATTGGATGTTAAAATCTCAAGATTGTTTTTTATTATTCAGAGGATAATGATTACTTTGGGGAGGGCGGGGAGACTGGTGAGATTCCATTCTTCCAAGAACACTTTCTGAGTCACCAAAATTTCCTTTTGAAAAACTCTCTTCCTGTTTTGAAAGCTGTAATTACAAAGCATCTTAAAGTAAAGCCCCTCTCTTTCATGTTTAAGGATGTTTCCCACTTGCCTGGGAATTACTTCTATAGATCTCATATAGCCGGCTCACCTGAACCACTAGAACAGATTCTCTCTTAGGCTTCTGTTTTGTGATTGTTTTCTTCTAACTTTTTGTTTTCCTCCATATTTCCAAGGTCCTTGTTTACATGTTTTGATGCGGTCCTATAAAAGAATTAAATAAACATCATCACATCGATACACACATACTTAACTTTTTAATTTAATCTTAAGATCTAAATTAATGTATCTTTGAAAAGACAAATGTTTTGCAGGCAAACCACAAGGGCAAACAATTCTCTATCTGTGAGTCTCAGCTGATAACAGAGAACATTCCATGGAAATTAGCTTGGTGGTGTGTGCTAAGAGTAAGAAAAATCAATTATTTTGAACACGGACTATTCACACTTTGTTGTATTATGTTTTTTATTTTGATTTTTAGCTTAAAAATTAATAGCTTTAGGGGGTACACATGGTTTCCGGTTACATAGATGCATTGTATAGTAAGTGGCGAAGCAGTCTGGGCTTTGAGTGTACCCACCACCCCACTTGTGTACATTGTACCTGAGAGGTGATTTTTCATCCCTGCCTCCCTTCCCACCTTCCCCTTTCTGAGTCTCCAGTGTCCATTATATTAGCTGGATTATATTTCTCTCCACTTTCTGGAAAGGAATTATTATTGTTTGATAGTCATAATTTTCATTCTGGGCAAACATTTCCTGCTAAAAATTTCTCAGTTTCTTTAAGGTCTTTTCCATTTTGGATTTTCTATCAGGCATCTCAGTTGAGCCAATGTCCTGTGCCTGTTTTTATGGATCTTGTTTTATTGAATAAAATGAAAAACAAGATATAAAGAGACCAAGTTTATGACAGAGCATGAGTCGTAGAAGCTAGAGCAACCTTAACAGGGCTGGTTCTCAAATTGTAGTCCCCAGACCAGCAGTGTTGGCGTCCCCTGGGAACTTGATAGAAATGCAAATTCTCAGGTACCATAACAGAACAACAGAAACAGAAACTCTGGGGATGGGACCTGCGATCTGTGTTAAAGACCACCTGGTGATTCTGCTGAAAACCACTGCCTTGATGGCTGCTATAATTACACAGATTCTTTCCTTTTAAAAAAAAAAATAGCCGGGCGTGGTAGCGTGTGCCTGTAGTTCCAGCTACTTGGAAGGCTGAGGCAGAAGAATCACCAGAGCCCAGCAGGTTGAAACTGGGGTGACCATGAGTGTGCCACTGCACTCCAGCCTGGGCGACAGAGTGAGACTCCAACTCAAAAAAAAAAAAAAAAATATATGTGTGTGTGTGTGTGTGTGTGTGTGTGTGTGTGTATACACATTTATATATATATATTTATATCTCTCTTTCTCTCTATATATCTAGGGTCCACTTTTATTTGACTTCCAAGAACAGGTGAAATGACTTTGTTGTAGTAAATGTCAGGAAATAATTGCCGCTTGGAAAGAGAAGGTGGGAGTTGACAAAAAAGGGGAATCATTGGCCTTTTGGGGGGTGATACAATCTTGTTTTGGGTAGTGGCTATTTACATAAATACAAGTGTTAGAATTCCTCCACCAGAACACTTAAGGGCCATGCATTGTATTTTATGTAAATTATGTTTCAGTATTTTTTTTATTTTTATTTTTTTTAGTAGGAGTCTCAATCTGTCGCCCTGGCTGGAGTGCAGTGGCACACTCATGGACACCATAGACTCGACCTGCTGGGCTCAGGTGATCCTTCCACCTCAGCCTTCCAAGTAGCTAGAACTACAGGCATATGCCACCATGTCTGCTAATTTTTTGATTTATTGTGGAGACGAGGTTTGGCCAAGTTGCCCAGGCTGGTCTTGAACTCCTGGACTTAGGCAATCCTCTCTGCTTCAGTATTTTAAAAGATGAGCCATAAAAAGTAAATTACTTCTTGTGCCATCCTTCCCATATAATTTCCTTAATTTTTTATACATTGTTATTGTAGATTAAGCATATTTCCCATATTCATAAAAACAAGCTCCAGACATAATTGAGATATATCGGATACTGCAGGGAGAATATGAAAACTTAATTTTTAAAAAGAAACTTTCAAATGCAATTCCAGGAAAAGCAAAAAACAAAAAAACAAAAACAAACAAAAAAATAAGACATAAAACCTCTAGAACAAAAACGTTCTCCAAGCTTAGTTTAAACTCAGTGTTTTCTTCACGCTCAGATAATCTTAATTTCAACTCACTTGAGGACATTATGTATTAATATTGATTTTCATGGTTGTTTGAAAATAAATGTGCTAAATCTGTGTTCTGAGAATAATAAATAAATCTGAAAGGCAAAATTTTAAAATAAAAGTTCTATTCTACTTGCCAGTTCTAGGTGGTCATCTTTTAAAAAAAATTGGGAGTACATGTGCAGATTTGTCACATGGATATATTGCATGATAGTGAGGTTGAGCTTCTATTGAACCCGTCACCTAAATAGTGAACATGATACCCTATAGATAGTTTCAAGTCAGTGATTTCAGAAAATTCATAAATTATAGCCAAAATATAAAAAGACTAGATGTCTGATTAATTACTTCAATCTTCAAATTAACATTTATTTACTTAAAATTTTAAAAATCTCAATAGCTTTAGGGGTACAAGTGGTTTTGGTTATATGAATGAATTATATAGTGGTGAAGTCTAGGCTTCCATTGAACCTGTCACCCAAACAGTGAGCATGGTACCCAACAGGAACAGGGTATCCCCCACCCCCCGGCTCACATGAGCGTAAGGACGGATTCTATCCTTTAAGAATGGAAATCAGGTTTTCTTAATTATACAAGTAAGGTTTTGGTACCAACTGAGAAAAATAAGAGCAAATGGTAGAGTTATCTCCTTTCCCTTCCTTCTTTTTTCTCCCTCCCTCCCTCCCTTCCTTCCTTGTTGTCTTTCTTTCTTCCTGTCTTCCTTTGTCCCTCCCCTCTGCTTCCGTCCCTTCCTTTCTCTCTCCCTTCCTTTCTTTCTTTCCAGAGCCCTGATCAAGAAATAGAGCAGTTGTAGACCATTATATTCCCTTGCAGTCTCTACTATCTTCCCAAGGTTTACTATAACCTACATGCTCACAGAATAGTTTTACCTGTTATTTGTAATTTATATTGTAATTTATATATAAATTACATATATTATAACATTAATACATACCACATATATCTATTTGTGTCTGCTTTTATTTAAACTCAACCTTCACTTTGTGACATTCATATATAGTAGTGTACATAGTTATAGATTGTTCATTCTTATTGACATATAGCATGTCAATGAATGAAAAAGTCATAATTTATTTATTTTATGAGTATTGAGTATTCTTACTCTTTGTTTCTTTGGGGATTTCAATGATATATAACTTAGATATTTTGTGTATATTTCACTGATCTTATATGTATTAGCCATTCTTTTTCCTCTCTGTGCTCCAATTTGTGTTTTGATTGTTGATCTTTGTCCCTGTTCACTTCTCTTGTGTCCTGCTGTGGTCAATCTGCTGTTAAACTCATCCACTGAAAACTTAGTTTTTAATATTACTTTTTTCAGTTCCAAAATGTCAGTTCGATTTTAAAATCTTTTAAAATACATTTCAATTCTTTATTCTATTTATCTCTTTTGGCAATCTTTTCTTCTACTTTCTTGAATATATTATCTATAGCTATTTTGATCTCCTTGTCTATTAACTACAATTTTCACAATGTCTAGTTGTCTGCTTATCTTGTCTACTTTTTCTCTTGGTTGTCGATTGTCTTTCTTGACTATTGGCATATCTAGTCCTTTTAAATTTTGCAGACACTATGTATAAAAGCACTGAGAGACTCTACAGAACGTTATTTTCCATCAGATAAGATTTCCTTTTTCTTTGTAAAGCAGCTAGGGTGAGGGGGTGATCACCACAAGTTAGTCAAGGATTTATTTTTGTTGGGGCTTGGTTGCAATTTTAGTAAGCTCAGTCTACCTTTGGTTTGCTACTGTTCTTAAGGCATGGCCATTTCAGGCTTCTGATTGAGATCTTGGCACAAATTCCATTATTCACCTCTTAAAACACAGAAAAATCTAGCTTTCCCTTCAGAACCTCAGCTCAGCATTTCAGTCATTTGCCTCATGAAACATGAAGATGTGGGAAATCTCTTTAAGCTTCCTTGACTTTACCATAAGCTCTCTGGGAATAAGAACCATGTTTTATTTATATTTTACCCATAGCACATAATTCAGTGACCAGAATATAGTAGGTATACAAAAAGATTTTATTCTTCTAAGTTGAACTGACATTATACTTCATATCTATTTCCTTCTACAGGCCTTTATATTGGTGATATTAGTGTTCACCAATATGAAGTTCATACACACCTGTTATTTTTTTACAAGTAAGTAAAGTTCAGAGACTACTACATTGAAGTGACAGAACATGAATGATGTCTTACTCTAATCTTTTGAGATACACTGTACAAAATTATATGCATAATTGTGTTGCATTAATTATATGCATTGCAGTTAGTAGTTATTGATTATTCTAATAGATACAGACTATATATTCATATATATTTCATCTTATTTTATTTATTTTATTATTATTATTTCTTGAATCAGATTTTAATGTGTTGCTCAGGTTGGAGTGCAGTGGCATGCTCATGGCTAACCTCAGCCTTGACCTGTAAGGCTGAGGCAGTCCTTTCACCTCAGCCTATTAAGTAGCTTAAACTTCAGGAGTGTGCCAACATGCCCAGCTAATATTTTTGATTTTTTAGAGATGAGGTCTTGTCAAATTGCCTAGGTTGGTCTCAAACCACTGGGCTCAGGCAATCTTCTTGCCTCCACCTCCCAAAGTGCTGGGATTATAGGTATGAGCCACTGGGCCTGGCCTTCATATATATTTTAATAACTACAATTTCTATACTTCAATAAGTTATTGCGGCAATCAAGGGGTACCACACGATCCCCAAAGCCTCCTCTCCTGTAGTCTTTTCCCCCTTGTCTTTTCTCACCCCTCCGATTATTCCTCCATTCCATTCCTCCTTTCTTCTCTTTCTACTTCTCCTTTAGCTATCTGTCTCTATCTTTTTTCAAACCAATATCATTAGCTGCCACCCTTTGCCTCTAAATAATAATTTTAGCTTGTTTGGAGCCTCTAGAGAGTGAAAGATGAAAGAGT